CCCGATTCCACTCACCGCAAGGATGTGGCATAGGCTGGGTCAAGCCAGGTGGTGTGACAGTTCTGGCTCCTGTCTCACCTCCCTGTGACTTCTGGGCAGCGGCAGAGGCTGTGGCCCAAGGCTTGACCCCTACCCTCCGGAATGGGGCTCCCATTCACTCAGTTGCTGACAGTTCTTGTTACTGACAGCTCAAAGCTTTGTTTTTCTCTAAAAACTGTTTTCTGCAAAAGGAAGCAGCCATGTCCAAAACTACAACACCTGCAGGAGGAATCCACACCAATGAAGTGTTGATGTGGGGGTGCAAACATCTGCCCCCCCACCCTCATCTGGCACATGTCCATTTCTGAGAACCCTGAGCATTTGAGGTCGCCCTGGCAGTTGGGCATCCTTCTGCCCAAACCAGCTTTTCGTGCTTCTTCTTGGAGATCATTCCCCACACATTCCCCACCAAGCATGCAGGAATCTCCCCCAAATTCTGCCTGCCAGAGACAGTCTCTGAGAGTGTTTTCCCAGGAATCAGCATCACAACCATGGGTTACTGAGCCCTGTGAGCATCTGTTGTTTTACCTGTAAAGGGAGATGATAATTACAGTATGTCAGGAGGTACTGTGGGGTTGAATGAGATAATGCACGAGAGTGAGCCTGGCACAGCCCATGGAGAGCTCGTTACCACGCCCAGTCATGGGATGGAGCCAGTGTTGTCCCTGTGTACACACATCAGACAATTAAATTTTCCCAAAATCACATGAAAAGATGGAACTGGGATTTTAGAATATGTGTGTGTGTATTATATACATGTGATAGTGTACACACACACACACACAAATTGTTTTCTGCAGAAGGAAGCAGCCATGTCCAAAGCTACAACACTTGAGGGAGGAATACATACGTCTACATCTCTCTCTCTCTCTATGTATTTCCCTGCTATCACTTTGTGTTGCCTCTTGTACTTTGAAGTTAACATATAAGTTTTATAAAAATTTTGTTCAGAATAAGAATAAAAAGTTCGTGGAGGAAGTTGGGCATGGAGGATGGAAACCTGCTTCTGAGGGTTATGGGAAACGTGTAACAAGCAGCCTCAAAGGGGTGGGGAGGGACCTGGGGGGCAGCATCTCTGTGGCAAAGGCCTCTGTGGGGATGGAATAAAGGATGGGGAAGCACTGGAGTTTCAGGCTTCTCTGAGAGCCCGGGAACAACAGTGAAGGGCGGCCATTATGACACAGAGTGGAAAATGGAAGCAATGTACTTCTCAGAAATTTTAATGGTTTTCGGAGTTATTTTTAACTATTTGTCAAATTCTTCGAGCTGTGGGAAAAAGCCACTGAGTTTTTGCTCTTTACACAATTTGCACGATCCACAGGCAGTTTTTCAAATTCTTTTTCCATCCCAAGATAATGGAAATAATAATTCTCTTTGTACAGGACTCTCCTGAGCATCCCTGGTTGCGAGCAGAAGGAGCACAGAGTGCTAAGCAAGATGAAGAAGCCGTTTCACCAGAACTGGCGAGCGGCGGGGAACAGGGGAGGGACGAGCAGAAATTTTTAGACATCATTAGTCCAGCTCACAGCAGCCACCTGGGGCACTATTGTCCCTTGGGCATGTGGCGTGGGCTGAGGTCGCTCCACTGCTCGGGACAGAGCAAGATCCCACAGGGAATCAGTGGACGCTTCCTGGCATTTTACCTCTGCTGACCCCAAGGGCCATTAGGGAAAGGAAAGCGTCATGTGATGGAGCGTCCCCAGGCAAGGGTCAAAGGCCTGTCACCAGGTCAGAACCTCTCTTACTGGTTCTGGGTGCCACCACCTGCCACCACAGATGCAACAGAAGGGCGTTTGGTGTAGGAAAATAAAGTTATTTTAACCAGTGGGGGTCGTGGGGGGAGAGGGTGGGGGAGAGCATCCAGTTACCTCAGTGGGGCAGCGTGGAGCTGCGCTGACAGGCTCAGCCAGGAGCAGAGAGGCCTGCGTGTGCGGCCCCGACTGGGCGTCCTGGGATGGTCTCACCAAGGTCGGCCTCTGTGGGTGCTGGCAGGGGCCACCGAGGGCTGCCCTGCTGACGCCAGGACCCTCCCCATCCTGCTGGGGTGAAGGCCCGATAACCGCCCTACAAGCGAGCAAGAGTGCCTGTTCATGGCTCCCTCTAGAGTCTCCCCAAATGGCCGCTCAACTGCACCCCCTTCCAGCTGCCCCCGTGCTCAGGACAGTGTGGGTGGGGTTCAGGCAAGACCCTGTGCTGGCTCCTTCTCTTCAGTTTGGGCAGTGTCTGGGTGTCAGAGGGTGACATCCTTCTGGAGAAAAATGGTGTGGTCTGTGCCCAGCCTGGGAGGCTGCACCGGCCACCCTGAGGGCCCAGGGATGGGGGGCTCAGCCAGAGGAAGATGCGCAACGAAGCACACAGCTGCCCTAAAGCACAGCCTGGGGACAGGAGAGGCTGGGGGTGCAGTGGGCACTCATGGGCAGGTCCCCCTGGAAGAGAAGGTGGCTCTCCCAGCTGAGTCATGGGGGCTCAGAGGTCACCAAATGACCTTGAGAGGAACTGGATCAAGCCGGCCAGTTCCTTTCGGCCTTCAAGATGATTATGCATGGAGAGTGTCTAAGAGGGAGTATTTAAAGCTGCGCCCCCGAGTTAGTAAAGTTTTTCACAGAGCCCTTTAAGGAGCGAGGGCCGCAGGTCACTCTGGGAGTGGCGCCCTTGTCTCCTTCTTGCTCCCTGCAGCCCTTGCGCCTCCAAAGCGAGGAGCCATGTTGGGATGAAAGCGTGAATGAACACGCCCGAGCTAGTGACTGAAAACCGTGCCTTGTGCCCGCCGGGAGCTCAAAACGTATTTTCTACGTCAAGTTTCACTGATCTGCTGAGGTCCTTCCAAACGCGCGCTTCTGTCAATAGGGACTTTCCACGGCTCCGCTTGGCTAGAGCCAGGCCACGCACGCGAATTCCCCATAAGGCAGAGGCAGGGACCTAGTCCTCGCCAGTAGGTGTCCCCCTGGGAAAGTGGGGTTACTGCAGCCCGTGAGTCAATCAGTGCAGGCGGAACAGCTGGGAGGACACCTGGATGGGAGAATAAGCTCAAGCTGGAGAGAGGGTGGGGAGGGGAGGTAGAGGGAGGAGAAGAGAAGGGGGGAGCCGGAGGGGGGGGGCTACCCTGCTAGTGACTTGTAGCCCCCACTTTGCATACCTGCTTCCAGGGCTTGCGGTGGCTCTGGGAGATTGCCCTCCTTCCTCACACTAGGTGCCCTTCTTGTACCAGCCCGAGGGGTCTTCCAGCTCTTGGAGCCAGAGAACCAGCAAGTCCTTGCGCTGCGTTGACACCGAGGGGCGCTGCTCCCCCCACGATAGGCCCTGCCCTTCTGCTCCCCCTACTTCTAAGCAGCCTCCTCTGCTTCTCCACTTCACACGTGGCCTTTAATGACTGCCCTGCCCCTTCTGGCACTGACCCCACAACGCTCTCACAACAGCGGCGACCCCCACCCCGCAGCGCCGAGAGGGCCTGGGTTGGCGGCATCTCTTCTGACTCAGGCCACACGAGGTGGACCGCCGGCCAATGAGTGGATGGTCACCCTTGAGTCAGTCACGCCAGCCCTTGCTCACCTGGCCTGGCCAAGGGGCTCCAGGGCTGGGGCTGAGTCCCTGAGATGGGGGGACAGGGCAGGTACCCCAAAATCTGCTGCTTCAATCCTAGGCAAGAAGACTCTGGGGACTTAAAATAACTTGGTTACTCTGTGTAATGAAATGGTGAGAAGATGGAGCATTTCACAGAGAACTGGAATCCAGCAGAAGAGTCCAATTAAAATTCTAATACTCAATATTAAAGTAGCTGATATTAAGAATATGACAGATTTGTGTCACAACAGGCCACGCACAGTAAAAGAGAATGAAAGTGCAAGAGGAAGTGGAAAATATAGTATTTACTTGCTTTGTTAACTGTCTGTCTCCCCCACTAGAATGTCGGCCCATCGAGGAAAGGGCTTTTGTTCACTGCTCTAGTCCCAGTGCCCCAGCAGTGCCCGGCACATAGTAGGTATGCAGAAAACCTGTGTTGAAGCCATGACTGTATGCGCCCACTAGCCCCGTGGAGGCCCTGGTGGGGGCCATGCGCGCCTGGCTGTATTCGTTCAGGACTCATTTCCCTGCAAGTCTGAGCCCCAAGAGAATGAGACCCATGTCCGCCAGGTTCCCACTTCCCTCTCAGAACCTTCCAGAAAGCCTGACCCATTGTAAGATGTCCTGTTCGTGAACCTCTTCCTTTAAGATCCCCTACTTGAATCCCCTCTTCCTTTAAGATCCCCTACAGGAAAGTCAGTCCCTTGTTTCTGCAGGAGCCAGCTGCCCTGTGGGAGCCAGCTGGCAGAGCTTCAAGCTTTTGACTAGTGCTATTAGTCAGCTCTTAGTTCAAAGGCATGGGAAGCTACTGTTAGCAGGTTGCCCAGCATGGGGTGACCTCCTGGGGTTCCATCCCTTCCAGTAAGAGAGGTGGTGTCCACTGCAGCAACAGGCAGCAGGAAGAGGCAGGCAGAGTGTACTGGCCCATCCTCATCCCCTCTATGCATGGAGCATGCCCCCTCTTCACAAGGAGACCTAGCCCTGATGTCTGGGCAGCGACGCTTCTGCAACCTTACCAGGCTCTCTGCCCAGATGTCCACAGAGAAGGGGAGACTCCTGTTCCTCCTGATGACCCTTGTGCCTTTTACTGTGACTCACACCCAAGGGGCACTCAGGAGAGACCCTCAGTGGTGGCAGCTGTCCCCATGAGGCCCTGATGTGGGGCTGCCCTCACACCCACCTCTCCAGCCACAGTTGGCACCAGAATCAAGGGTAGCAGGAAGCACATGGCCAGAGCTGCTGCGGAGACAGCCCTTCCTCGCAAGCATCACTCCTCGTGGTCACCAACCCAGGGTCGACTTTATTAGGCTTTGCACACTGCCTCGTAGGCTTTACACTACAGCAGCCTCACCAGTGGGCTGGTGCTGGCCTTCCTGGTGGAGCCAGGGAGGATAGACAACCCCGGCAGGGTTGACATCTCCATCACCCTGCAGCAGGGTTGACCACTTTTCCCATGAAGAGTAGGCTCTGGGTGGTCGCCTCCCAAAGGAGCACCAGGAAAGGCCTGTTGAAATGGGCCTGCGGGGCCGACATTGTGTTCAGAGACCCAGGCTGGGAAAGGAGGCCGGAGGCAGCCCCTGCCTCGGTTCCCCGCTCACTCATGTCCACCGTGGCCTTGTGGGTCACCTGGGTGGAGAGAAGAAGGGGCAGAGACAGCATCAGTTCTGGCAGCTTCTGCAGGGCGGTCCCCTCCCGCAGCTCTGCGGCAATGGAAGGGAGGCGCTGCTCAGGCCCCGCTGCGCCTGCCTCCCAGGACACAACTGCAGACTCGACTTCATTTCCTGGCCTCCCCCATCCTCGCCTGCCCTGCCACATCCCGGGTGTCCACCCTGGAGCTTTCTGTTTGAGTTCGACATCCAGGAGCGCTCGAGCGCGTGAACCAGGCCCGAGGGCCATTTTCTGTTACAAGCTGCACGTGTCCTTTCTCAGTCTCGGTTTCCTCGTCTTTAAAACAGCTTGTGAGCCTCAGTCCACAGTTTCCAGAAGAGCTCGGCAGAGCCAGGGTGTCCGCTGTGCCAGCCCCGCCCAGCCCAGGAGAATTCGTTATATTAAAACCTCATTTCCTGCAACTTCTTAGGAAGAAAAGACTCAGAGCCTTCAAAAATAAGATGGAAAACACCGGCCTTGGGGATCCCTTTTGCTTCTAGAAAGCACCGTGAAAAGGTAAATCTACCATCTATGGCTACTGTGAAAGGAACACTTTAAAAGGCTTAATTATTTATTTTCCTTCTTCTTTCTCCTTTCCAGCGAGGGCGCGCACACGTGTACACACTCCACTCACGGACACACAGGTGTCCCTATCACCGCGTCCCTATTCCCTCGGCTGGTCTCCCCCAAATCAGACAGAAGACCTTCCTTAGGGAAGGGCCCGGCGTGGCAGTGGCTGCGCCCTCACAGGGCAGGCAGCGTCTTAGCTCTTCTCCCTCCTGTGCAAAATTGCATTATCACTCCCAAAGGTAAGTCTCCCTGTCTGGCAGAGGGTTCACCACCCTCACCCAGGCCCCCTGACTTACAGGGCCCCCCTCGGAGAGAACACAGCCCCACCCCCCGCTGGTCCTGGATGTGGGGTTCTCGTTAGCCAAGGGCGTGTGAGCGCGAGGGAGGGTGCAGTGTCCCTGCGCGTTCCTCTTGCTCTAGTCTCACAGCTACGAGAGTGGAATGTTCCCAAAGGGGCTTCTCCTTCACCCACGTCCTGGAGGAAGAAGACACCGAGCAGATCCATAGCCAGACTGCAGAGACACCCCTGGCGTGAAACTCAACAGGAAGAAACCTTGGCTCTGCTCAGCACTGAGATCGGGGCGCTGTGTTATTCCAGCAGCTGGGGGGCACACAGCGCCTTCCTGCCCCACTGGCCTCCACTGCACAGCAGAGGTGGCGGCGCGGCTCTGCCTGCCCCGGGAAGAGGCATAAGGGGTGAGAGCAAAGCTAGCCCCACGGCCCAGAAACCTGGCCCCCCATCTGCTCCTGCTTTCTTCGGAGCTCTGTTCCTGCCCCCCAGGACTTATCAGGGAGGTGGGAGGGGAGCTGCCCTTGAAAAGAAGCCTTGAAGGTTGAGGAGACAGCAAGGAAGACTGTGGCAAAAGAGAAACCCCCGACACACCCACATTCAGCACCCTCGCCCCTCCCCCCACACCCACATTTACCCTCTTACCCTGGAGACGGTTTGGTTGAGCTGCCCAGTGATTCCCCACCAGCCAGCGTCTAAGGTGAAGGTGCTGGTGAGGCCGAGGTGGGGAAGGAGCTCTTCCAGGTTATATGTTCCGGAAATGGAAAACCTCGGCAGGTGCAAATCCAGCAGGCTGGAGAGAGTCAGACAGGGGACGACGCTGTCACACGCTGGCCCAGCCCCTCCTCTGCTGGCAGCCTGAGCTTTGGGAGAAGCGTTTCCCAGAGTGAGGACCGACCTGCCATGCTGGAATATTCCATGCCCCAGAGCCGCCTCCTCACACCTCACAGGGTGTCTAGTGCCTGGATCTGACCCTTTCTGGCCTCATTGATGGAGGGCTCTCCAGCTGCCTCTCACTGGGCTGGGTTTTCCCAAGGTCGAGTCCACATGCTGACCGCGTCAGGTAACCGTGGTGACCCATTCCCGACTTGTATTCCACCCAGAAGCAAGTTCTATGGACTCACCTTCTGCTGAATCGCACACGCATTGACCAGCAGCCCCCATCCACACCAGCAGCGCCCCTCACCTGGCTGAGCTCCAGGGGCCACTGTGAGGACCAGGGTGATGGTGCGGATAAGGCTTGGGGCAAAAATTCAACCAGTAACTCTCCCCCCACCCCCCGTGAGCTCCACGGTCAAGCCACCACTTTCCCTAGGCTAAGTCAACAGGGTTCTTTCGGCCCAGAGTAAATCTGGTCTTTTCTTCCTGAGCTGCTTTTTCTTAATTATTGTTTGGCGATTGCCAGGGCACCTGCAAACGTGGCTACTGAACAGCCGGCTTGGAAGTTTCTGTACCAAGTGAATTCCCCCTAGAGACCGTATTGGGAGCCGCGCTACTCATGTCATCTGACAAAAGTCCGGGCATGGGGCAGATTTCTGAAAAATCAGGAATCTCGTCAGCTGACTCCAAGATTCTCCTCTTCTGTTTATGGCTAGTTTCTACCATTGCTAAAATACGCATTTAAAAGTAAAACTGCAAATACTGATCAATCACTGAATAACCAATTTGATGACAAATGGCACTGCATGATACAAATATTACATTTTTCATAAAATTAGTGGTCCTCTGCCAAAAAGGCAGCAATTCAACATTTGGCTTTACATTAACCAGTGAAAAAACTTCTGGAAACAAAAGGTTGTAAACATCTATCGGCCAAGTCTTTGATATAGAGATGTGGTCTCTTGAGCAAGAGCTCATTGGACAAAGAAATTCCTTTACTTTAAAGTTAAAGATAACAGTTGGGTGGCAGAGGCCAGCCAGGCTCCAAGTATAAGAAGATTCCTGATAAACCAGGAGACGCCATAGTTGACTCCTGCTAAATTCTTCCTGTTTGTTTAGGGCTAATTCCCTAGGATGTGACGATTGGTATGATAGCTGTTAGAGTGTGCATTCAAGAATAAGTCAACAGCAGTTTTGTGAATAGTTGAGCTAGTAACCACGGCAGCACAAATAACGCACTCGGAAATGGTCAATGTTACAACTACTGATACATCACATATGGACCATTTGTGAGAATCAAAGGCTATAACCATCTCCGCCCCTGCCCCTGATAAAATATTTGTAGTTCTTTAGAACAACAACCAGCAACCTTATGGAAGAGGAAATTGCCCCTTGATCTTATAGTTAAATACGGAATCTAGGCTGACTAGATAAAGCAGAGGAGTAAATAGGTAGAAAACTCTTTGTTTAGATCAGGAGACTTCCTCCCTTCATTGAGAGTTGGGGGCCAGGGAAGAGTCAGTGAGGCTTGCCTGGCACGAACGCCCTCCAGGCCCATGGTTCCTTAATATCAAATCAATATTAAAACAATATACTCTAGATGATGATTTCTATATAAAAGCCTTCTGTTTTTTACTTTAATCAATTAGTTATATGTTGGTCTAAACTTTATAGGTTAGTTAGAAATCATCTCTTTGTCTCCCTTCCCCCAGGTAACTTCCTGCCCTTTGTTTCCCTCAGCCCTTAGTTAACTGTTCACCATGGCAAGCTTAGAAATGTTAGCTGCAGACACATAGGCTTTTTTGCTAGTGATACAATAACTGTTGGATTGTTTAAAGTAAATAACTATTTTAAAAACATTTGTTTAGCAACTGTGCCTTCTTTAAGACAAAGAATAATAAATGTTACGCCTCTGCCGGAAGGCCAACAGACCCTTGGCTGCTCCTGAAAAAGAACATGTGATGATTATTATCTTCCTACCTTAAGCTTGTGCACTCACAGTTTGCTTAGTATAAATAAAGGGCTGCTGAGACACTCAGCAGGATGGTGTCAGCACCTGATCAAGTGTCTGCGGCTCCTCATTCCCCCTTCCCCCTCCCTTACCATTTCTCTACAATTGCTCAGACGCCTTCCCATCCTTCAGGAACCCCTGACACCCAGACTGCTGCGGCTGGCTGGCTCGCAACAAGACCGAATTCAGGCTGTGGCGTCACTGCCAGTTTAACTCCTGGGGTACCTGAGGGTCCAGATGGCCCACCCACCAAGTTCCCCATGGCAGTGGAGGCCAGGAGGGGAGTTTGAGTAGAGGCTAGTTGAGGGGTATCTGGTAGGGAACCCAGGAGATGTTCCACCAGTGCCCATGAGGACATAGATGATGGCCAGGAGACACGGTTCCCCAGGAAGCCACAGCTGAACGGAGGGAGCCTAACATTCCCCGTCAGGCCCATGAAAATGCCGTCACGTCATGTGGCCCCTGAAACTACACCTCAGGCAACTAAAAAGATCAAACAGATGCTGCTATGATGTGAGATTAAATACAGTAACATAAGATATTAGATTATATTTCTCTGGTATGAGAAATAGCCAAAAGGAGCATAGGAATTTAGAAAAGTAACTTGGGGATGGTTTTGCTCTTAGAAGGTCAAAATGAGAAGTCAAACAAGATCCTTCTTATGGGAAAATCTCCTGGTCTAGAAAATTCTATGGTACTTCTTCCCGTGATGGGGGAGGGACAGGCTCACCCCAAGGGAGCCTGGGACTGTGGACCAGCAATGGGTAGGGCTGTGCAGGTTCATTGACAGCAGGGATATGCTTGTAAATCCTGGCCTCCAACCTTGACCTGTCTCTCTTTTATTTGGCGCTTGAATCTCTGCCCAAACACTCAACACCCTTCTCCACTCTGGCAGCTCAGCGCGGCTGGGGTGCTGACAGAAGACGCCACGGCATGGTGTTGGGTGAAAGGTGGTCATCAAGAGGTTTTCCTACATCCCCTTCCTGCAAGTTTGCCTGGGGTCTGTGACACTCTGGCTAATAAAATATGGCCGGAGTGACATGTGCTAGTTTCTGAGCCTGTGGCTTCAGAGAGCAGGAGCTTTCCCTTCCTGTCTTTGGAAACACTCTTCCCTGCAGGCCTGGCCTGTGTGAAAATATCGATGATGCAGAGTTGCTGAGTAAAAGCCCGAGCTAGCCTCGTGCAGAAGCTGCGTGGAGAGATGCCTGTTTAGCCTTTGTCTGAGCCAGCCGCCCGGCCTAAAAGCCAGAGCTGCAAGCAGAGGCGCCTTCGATACCCCAGCACCATCTGACTCAGGAACACCCCAAGTGAGAACCTCCCAGCGGAGCCCAATCCACCCATAGAAACAAGAGAGATAATAATAAATGGGTTTTTCAAGCCATTCCATTAGGAGGTGGTCTGTTACCCAGCAAGAGGTACTTTGCATGCAGATTTCATTCCAGAGAACCCCATAAAGAAAGCTACATCCCAGGACAGATTAAATTGTGAAGGAGCTATATAGGCTACCAGAAAAGGTTGAAAGGACTCCGGGAAAATCACAAACCAAAAAACAAGTGAGATGAAAAGGGGGTAGGACAGAAATCACATGAAACCAACATCTTAATTTCCAGAAGGTTCTTTGTGGTACTCAATTTGGGAAATATTTTAATTAAAAAAGAGGTACTTTTTAAAAATATGCACTATTTTGTGCAAGTCATACTTATTATTCATTGTCCTTGATCTGATTTTTTGCTTACACTTAACTACCATTGGTAGCAAATTAGCATTTGGAGAAAGGGAGACAGGAGGTTGGGACAGAAGACGTGCAGGAAGGGGTGGAGGATTCGTGCCCTTTAGCTGAGTGGTGTGAATGAGCTCCATGAATCCCCCAAGTAACCCAACATGGAAGTTATTCAGGCCTCCTTTGACATTTGAAGAAATCCAAGGTCAAGAAGTCAAGAAAATTATCCAGGACCACATCTTTAGAAGACAGTGTGACGCGCCAAGCCTGCGGGGTGGGCTCTTGCAGTGAGAATTGGCCAAGACCTGCTCGGGTTCTTGAACAAGGTCTGCTGGAATCCTTCCCCCGACACGTACCTGGGCAGGAGCAACGGGCCCCATTTTCTCAGGGTCTCGGGCTGCAGAGCCGCCTCCACTTGCTCCATTTTACCAGGGTCGGGGAGGATCAGCAGGGCCAGGGCGTTTCCGCTGTATTCGATCTGGAGGACGGTGCAAGCCACCTCGGGGTCATAGAGGAACCTGTGCATTTCCTTCTGGTGCATCATGGGGAAGCGGAAAGAGGTTCTCTCGTCCACAAAGAAGTTCCCTTGCTTCTGGGTCTGGTAGCGATTGAAAGGATGCTTCCACTTGGCTTAGGACACAAACCCCACGAAACCATGAGAACACACCCCAGGAGAGAACTCTGGGCAGATGCGCAAAAGGCCACGCAGGCTTGGTGCTTCGTGGGCAGATGAGGTAAAGAAATGGCCTGGCTGTGGACTCAGGGGGCCAGGATGTGGGCCTGGCTCAGCCACTGGAGCAAGTGGCCCCTAAGGGTCTATGACTTTGTTCCACTTCAGAGCAACTGAGTTTTCGATGGGCTAAAAGGTATTTCATCTACTAAGCGCCTTATTTTAAATCGTCACAAAAATTGATACCAAAAAAATATTCCGCTTTCCATATCAGAGATGAGGAACTGAGTCTCCCTGATATTATGGGTACTTTTCCAATTTGGAAAGCCAATGATTGGGGCCTCCTCAGGCCCCAATCCAAGCTCAGGCACTTGGATAATACTGAGTGGACTCCCTTGGGCAAGCTGCCTCTTGACAACAGCCAACTTCTACAGAAAAGCTCCAGAGCCCCCTCAACTCCCGCATATTCTAACTGGACAGGGAGAATGGATTCAGGGAATGAAATATAACATATAGCACAAAAGTCCATTAAGAAATAGCTAGAAATGCAGAATGCAGTGGCCACAGTCTTGTCTGCATGTTAGTATCTTCTCTCTCCCTGCGTGTAATCTCTGCTCACCCCTACCTCCTGGCCTGGCCTGCCAGAGGCATCGGCCTTGGTGATGGGGTCACCAGCTCATCCTCCCCTGTGCTCACGCCTGGTCAGTGACGGAGCACTGCTGATCCTGTCCCCAAAGCCGATCCCCACAGTCCCCTAGACAAAGGCACGCCAAGAGCCTCCTCGTTTGTTTCTCCTCTCCCCGACCTGTAGAAGGGGTGGCAAGAATTCTGCCTGAGCTGGCCTCACCTTTGAAGAAGATGTAGTTCAAGAGAACCAGGAGCGTGTCGGGGGTGACGCCCCGGAGGCAGTCCGCCACGCGCCCGTAGGTCTGCTTCCGCACGTAGTCGCTCATCTGCCTGCCCGTGGAGGCCGCGTCCGTGAAGTTGGCCGAGAAGGCCAAAGCCCCGTACAGGTCCCTGATGGCGTCCAGGAAGTGCCGCCGCGGCTGCAGCTGCTTGTCCAGGAACAGGGAGGTGCCCACCTTCAGCTCAAGTTTGGGGCTGGGCAGGTCCAGGGTGTGGATGAGGCTCTGGAAGCCCCTGTGGATGTCGGCCTCTGGGGTCTCCGTGAGGTTGAAGCCGAGGCCTTCCAGGATCTGGGTCTGGGTGCCTGCTTGGGCCCCCAGGGAGAGCAGGGCCAGGGAGGTTGAGATGCTCACAGGGGAGAAGAAGATGTTGCCTGTGGTGGCCGCTGCCAGCTGCTTGTACAAACGCAGGGCGAAGTTAGTAATGACGGGTGTGATTTTGTGGTAGGTAGGGGCTGGATCTGAGAGCCGAACACTGGGCGCTTGAGGCACCCCTAGACTCTTGTCCTCTAGGGCAGAAAAGGGTTGACAATGAACAGTGGCCAGGAGCCCCGCTCCCAGCAGCCACAGCCACGCCAGCTCCATGCTCTGAAAACAAGATGTTGAACATGTCACCTTCTTCGTCAACAATGTCATGGCTCCCCAGCTGGACCCGGCGAGCCCCCCATCCAAACTGCACCCTCCTGAAATGTCAAAGCATTTTCCTGCTTTGCATGTTTATAAGCCTATCAGGGTCTGTTGGGTAAAGGACTCTGTATTCAAGGGCTGTAAAGGCCTCTGGGGTCTATTGTCCCTTACTTTCTAGAAGCACGGACTGCAGATCCCCCCAGGTGAGCACCCCCCACCCCTTGAGCCCCGGGTGTGGGGTCTCTCTGGCCTGGCCAGTGCCCTCCTCTCCTCCTCTACTTTTTAGGGACCCACACACGCATCCTGATGCCTTTGTAGAGCAAACACCCCCCACATTGCCACTCAAACCCTTCAGCTTGATGTCCTGCTCCCTTCAAAACTGACCCTTCCATGGTGCTTTCAATCTCTCTTGTTCACCTGTCCTGACGCTGTTATATGTCAATCAGTACCTTTATTTTTTTATTTTTTATTTATCAATTTTTTTTGTGGGACCCTCACCGGTGGCCGGGGAACGAACCAGCGCTGCAGAGGCTGCGGGCAGCCTCGCAGCCCAGCACTCAACCGCTGCGCCACCGGGGAGGCCCTAATCAGTACCGTTATCACGTTTGTCCAAGCCAATGGCTTGGATCAATTTTAGTGTCAAAGTCGGGAGGGAGAGGTCATATTTTTGTAAAGGGCTTATAGTGCCTGGCGCCCTAAATACCCCGCCAAGCCCCAAAGGGCAGTCGTAGGGAGGGAGGAATGTAGCCTTATTATCAATTATGTTGAAACTCGTTTGCTGAGCAAAGTACTGCAGGGCAGTTTCCCAAGGTCGTTCAATGAGTTCTAAACTGTCAGTTTCTTTTTTTTTTTTTAAAGATTTATTTTTATACAAGAACTGGGGTCCAGGCCAGAGATGTGGGGGGTGAGAGGATTCACCAGAGACAGAGCAGAAAACCGAACAGGCAGCTGGACCGAAGTACACTGCTGAGGGGAGCAGCGGGCGTGTCAGAGTTTCTTTTGACGGGAGATTTAGAAGCAGCACAACAATTTAAAAATTGGTCTGCCCCGGGCAGGGGCAGGGTGGTGGGGCGGGGAGGGGGGAAATAAGAATTGCACTGATGACAAAGCTAATTCCTGCTCTTTATTCTTTATATCCTATCGGGCTCTTCACCAGAGAAACCCCAGACCTCCAGAAGGATCTATTCCCAAAGGGGACTGAATTGCAAGTCGGAAGCTGCTTTTGAGTCAAGACTCTGCAGGAATCACGGGGTTAAGGTGAGCAAAAGAGCCCCTCTGAACTGCAGAGGCCCCATTTGCAAAATAAAGGTGATAACACCCCTAGGCCTGGGGGATGGGTTGCTTAGGGATTACAAGACCATGCAAGGTTCAAAGCAGCTACACCTGGAGTGAGGTTTACTTTCACCCCTCCCACCCAGGCTCTCAGCCACTACACCTGATTCACTTCTTTATTCCTTTTCCAGAAAAAAACTTTAAAAGTCCATTAATTAACTATACTCTTCCCATTTATTAAGTACTTATTGTGTGTGTGGGGGGGGGGGGGGGGGCTATTGGCAGCATTGTCGGGCTACCCCAGCCAGAGGTGCTCACAATGCAGGGGAAGGGCCTGGTGGGCAAGGATGGTATTTGGGATCATCTCCCAGACTGGAGGAGGGGGCGCTACTGGAGGTCAGTGGGTGAGCTCTGGCCCCAAATCCTGTCTCCAAAAGCTCACACAGTCACGGTGGCTCAGTCTGCCCTGTCCCAAGTCCAGTGGTGTGTCCGGTGGGAAGCACAGAAACTTCAGCCACAGGTACGCCCCTGCACGCATCTGGGGAAACTGAGGCTCAGGGTTAGGACACACAGCTGCTAGGTGATGGGCAAGATTCCGTTCCAGACCAGGCTCTGAAACACTGTCCTCTAAGGGGAAGCCTTGTCCCCTTGCTGCAAAGATGCCGCCCTGTGCTTGGGGTCCTGTTGCTTTGTTTTCTTGTCTTGACAGACAGGAATATTGGCAGCTCCTCTGTCAAATTTTTGAAGCTCAAGTTTCCCATAAAAGATTATTTAATACCTGAAGTTCCTGCTTTCAGAGCTGGAAACAGTTTGTCATTGTGTTTCCTTCTCCCAGGAGGAGATTCCCTCCCATCTCCTCTGCTAAGAGGAGAGAAGGGGTGGGGGGGTGGGGGGGCAGAGGTAGAGAAGGGAAGGGAAAGGAGGCGCAGCAGGCCTGCGCCTGCACTTACAGCGAGCGAGGGAGGTCCGGGCGAGGGAGGTCCGGGCTGGGGTCCTGGTCTTCAGCAAGGCATCATCTCTACCCACAGGGAGTGGGGCCTGCAGCTCGCGGCAGCCTAGTCAATATTTGTCGGATCAATTCCTGGAAGTGGTATGAAGGGAATAAGCAGCAAATAGGGAGGGGCCATTTTTTTAAAGCATCTGTGTCCCGGCTGCCCGTCCTGTAACAAATGAGCAAATCATGATTTTGGACCCAGCTCAGTTCTCGGCTATTCTGAACCAGTGATGGGGGGTATCGTTGTTGATCCTCTGTGTCTGTGGCTTCCACACAGATCACCCTCACAGTAAGTGAGGCTTGAGCAGCCCTCCCTCAAGATAGAAAAAAGGGTGGGGGGCTCTGTGAGGGTCATAACTGCTGCGGAGTGAGGTCCCACTTAGGAGATGAGGTCATTGCCAGGCCCCCTACCCCATCCCCCAGTGCCATTCCAGGAGTTTCCTGGTGCTTGAAATAAATACAGTCCTTGCACAGAAACAAAGGAAACGACTGGAAGGATATTCAGAAATTCGAACAAAATCTCTCCTGCTTTACTGAAAGCCCTTCGAGTGGGGTTACTCATGCTCATTTGCCCACATGTCACCCACAAACCTAGAACGAGGTCTGGACCTGAATGAATATTCGTCTGTGGGCAGCTCTCTTGGTGATGGAATTGAGGGGAATTTTACACTGTTCTGTAGATTTTGTTTTCTCCTAATATTCACAAAGAACATGTATTTTATTTATGACCAAAAAAACAACAAAAAAAGTAGAATTATCTCATCACTCATGTAAGCAGAATAGAAGCCCCTGAGCTTGGCACAAAGCTTCCATGGAGAGGCACTTTTATTTTTTTTTAAAGATATATTTATTTATGCATACAAACTCTGGGGTACAGGCCAGAGGTGCAGGGGATGGTGAGAGGATTCGCTAGAGACAGAGTGGGGAGCAGAACAGGCAGACTAACTGAAATACACTGCTGAGGGGAGCAGCGGGCAGGTCAGGAGAGGTCTGCTGCGCCATGTGGGTAGCTCCCTGGCCAGGGATTGAACTCGTGCCTCAGTGGCTGCAGATAGCTTCATAGTGCTGCGTCTTAACCCCTTGCGCCACAGGAAGGCCCCCCACCCCAAGGCTCTTTTAAGACATATTAACTCCTCAAGACTGCATCCAATCCTGCATCAGGGCAGGCTGAGCCAGCCCTGCCGTCTGGTACACGAGGGGAGAAAGCCCCGTGGTGTTTGTGGGTCTCAAGGTGGGAAAAGCCTGTGTGAGCAGATGGAGAAAGGCAAGGATGTTTGGGCAGGTACCCCACCCATCACGTTTGAGATCCTACCCCTGGATCCAGAACAGCACCGAGAACCTTCTGGGTGCTTTAGAAAGACACATTTGCCTTTTGAGTAAACACGAGAATTGAAGTGAATGGCCCGAGTTCCTTTTCCACTAAGAGGCCTCCACTCCACTCTTGGCACACACATCACATATTTGACTCTAAAAGCAACTTATCATGACCTGGAGGGAGGAGAAAAGACTCTGGAAGACACGAATGTTGGGTTCTCTGCCAGACTCTTACCCAGCGGAGACCACCTTACAGAGCTGGGATGGGAACGGAAGATTTTCCGTGGGTGCTGTCGAGGCAGGGCCTGGCCCGAGCCGGCCCCCCAAATGGCAGCCATTGACACATTACTGTTGCACGTCATCTGCCTTCCATCACCCTCATTTCGTCAGAGGAGCAAAAGAGGGAGCTGTAGATAATGAGGTGCGAGTTCCACACAAGCCCAGGCCCACCCTTGGGACATCAGCAACTTGTATTGTTGAGCAGCTGGTAGTTCTCCAGAGAAAGGCACCCAGTAGCGTGAGCAATATGGAGAGGGGCTCCGCCATGTATGTTCTGGAAAGCAAGGGGGTGGTGTCAGCAGCACAACCAGACAGAGGGAGCCTGGACTGTATCCCCGCACACGCGTGGCAGGAGCAGGAGGGAAAGCACTCACAGAGGAGGGTGACCTAGTGTCCAAGTGGTGAGGGCGTCCTTGGAGGATGACGGCATCCGGAGCGCCCTGTGGTCGGGGGTGTGCATTCTCCGTGAACGCATCACCATGGACGGAAGAGAGGGGAGCCACTCACAGAGGATGGTGAACTCAGCGCCCACGTGGGGGCGGGTGTTCATGGAGGATGGAGGGATGGGGCCCGGCCCTTCCCCACCACTACAGGACACGTAAGATGGCGGATGTAATTCACCAGCCTCGCTGGCCCTGGCGCCCAGGTATATGGTCAAACATTATTCTAGATATTTCTGTGAAGTTTTTCTTTATAATATCAGCATGACATTGGTGGGCTTTGGGGAAAGTATGTGGCCTTCTACAGTGTGGGTGTGGGTAGGCCTCAGCACCTCAGCGGACGGTCTGACAACCAAGACTCCGCTCTCCTCCCCGCCCACGCAAGAGGGAATTCTACCTGCAGACGGTCTTAGGAGTCAGTCTGCAAGATCCACTCAACCTGGTCTCTGGCCTGATGAGCCACTCAGCAAATGTGGGGCCCACCAACCTCTACAACCCCCAATTGTTTGAATGAGTCAACTCTTTAAAACCCCAGTGTATCTCACTTACATGTAGCAAGAGATGGGTTGTTGCCATCAGACACAAGGCAAGTCACGGCCAGCCAGGTGGTACCCAAGGTTCAGTCCTATACACACACACACACACACACACACACGCACACACGCACACACATGCACACACATGCACACTCACATTCACACCCCTTTGTGCACATGACCATTCCATCTCTCCCTCCTCATCAGTTTTACCTCCTGACAGTCTCCTAGAGCTACTAATAGTCCTTACATAGGGGCTGTATGAAAAAGAGAGATCAGGGTGTGGGATAGAGAAAGTTCTGGCAACATATTTGGGGTCCTTTGCCTCCCTATTTCCCCCTGGAGCTTGGTGAACACAAGGAAACCCTGCAGGTGTTGGTGGGTACTGACACTACCTTCTTCCACCCTCCCACCCTCCTCTCTGAGGGGACCCTGCTCCTGCCCAGCAAGGCCCCTGCTGGGTGGGGGCACTTAGAATGACTCTGGGGTACAGATGAGGAAAGGGCGCTGCTGTAGTGAGGCTGCGCAGACGCACCCCGCCAGCTGCACCCTGCGTCTGCCAAAGCATCCCAGGTCAGAAGACAGCGGGGAGGGCCCCAGCAGATGCCCCAGCCCCGCCCCATCTCCCCTGCTTCGGAAGAAGACACGCATCCCAGCCTGGGCTTTTCCTGCTACACTCCAGTGAATTTTATTCACCTCACTCCAGGGCAGTTGGGGGCCGACCCCCGACCTCTACTCAACACGGGGGTTTAAGACCCGGGCCACAAGGAGCTCTGTTTGAGTCTTGTTGTCCACCACAAAGGCGAGGAAGGGTTTGTTGAACTTGAGGCGCAGGGGCTCCCGCGGCTGGTGCAGAAGGTCGTCCTCCTGTGCGTCCCCGGCGCCCGCGGCCATTCTCACGCCTTTCTCGGTCACTTCCATCCGGGCTTCATGCATGGCCTGGGGACACAAGACCCTGTCTCAGATCTGGGCGTGAACGCAGCTGGCTGCCCCAGAGCAAGCCGGGGTGGTGTGCGGCCAAGGTCAGGGAGGCAGCACCCTCCACAGCTGGTGGTGGGTGGGGGAACGCTGGCTCCCACTGCAGCAGCCCCACAGCCCCCTCCAGCTTCTACTCTGTTCTATCTCCAGAGAGACCCTCCGTGCAAGGACAGAGGGGAGTTGACCTTTGAGGAGCTGAGGACCCAGCACCGGGCAGGCAGCTCAGGGAGTTGGGGTTCTTGATAGAGAGGAAAGGGGCCTAGAACACAGGGGAGTGCTGAGTGGTTGAAAAGCTTGAGAAAGTCCCCTAGGATTACTGGGGGGCAGTCCTTTCCCCTGCAGGAAGATGTGCTGAAAGGAGAAGGAGGGAGGGGTTCATTTTAGAATGTCCACTCTGCCCCTTGGCTCTGTGGGACACATGGCAGTGGGGCTGGGATTCTGGGGGGCTGGGAGAGGCTCAGAATCTCCCAAGCCCAGCACCCAGCACCCAGCACCCAGCACTGGATATGCCCTCGCTGGGTTCTGCTGGGTGGGAACACACCCAGGGGCGCTCACACTCCTGGGTCACTGGAAGCGCCTTATCCCAGGGCATCCCAGCCTTGGGAACCCAGCTGCGTCCTTGGCAGATGGCTGTGTCACCCCTCGGTGAGCGAGCAGACCCCGCCCCAGGTCACCAGGAGAGGCAGGGGAGAGAAACCCTGACAGGTGCTTTGTAATCTGCCACCTGCTGCGCACGGCATGGGATGAGATGGCTCCTTGTGCCTGGCCAGAGTGTTAGGGGTGGCCAGAGGCCTCTCAGTGACCTGCGGGGAGTCACAGTGCCTGCGGAGATAGGACAATCACCCCTCAATGTGCCGCAGCATCTGGGTGTCTGAGAGGTGTGTGGGGCTCAGCAGAGCGAGGCCCTGACTTGTTCCTGCAAACCCGAGGCTCTGGTGGCTCCCCCGCCTCCTCGCCCTCCCAGCACCCCCCCACCCCGCCTCCCCTCACCGCACTGGCTCCCCATCTCCCACACTCAGGACTTGAGCCACATGGGTCCTCTTGGGATTGCTCAAACACATCAGGCTCACAGGCTCACAGAGGCACTTGTCCGCGTCCCCTGGAACGTGCGTCCCACGGCAGGCTCCCCAGACCTCACCTTCCTTTCACTCCTCTGCGAGACCGAGCAGCCCCAGACTTCCTGCCAGCCGACCTCAAGTCCCCCCCACCGCCCAGGTGATCTCCCAGTTTCCCATGTTCCTTTCTTCCCCACATCTCAGGTTGACAGGATCCCTACGTGTGCGCATGCTCGTTGTCTGCCCTCCTCAAGGCTGTGAGCGTCTGGAGATGGAGACTTAGGCTCATTCACACCCGTGTCCCCAGCGCCTCCGAGAGTGCTGCAAACTACTACTTTTGAATGAATGAATGAATGAATGAGTGAGTGAGCGAGTGAATGAATGGCTACAGAATCTCAAAAGCCAATGGGCCAGGGGAGATAAGCGTTGTAACTGCTGCTTTTGGTTTAAATGGATTGTTCTTCCCTCAGGACTGGTGTGGATAAAACAGACCCCAGAAATTGCCCCACTCACCTCAACAATAGCTGGGAAAACCTCTTCTGTGATGCCCGAGAAGTTCGCTTCTGTAGTAACTATGTCTGTGAGGCCCAGTTTGGGAAGCACTCTTTTAAGATCTATCTTGCAGAAGATCTTGAACTTGGGCAAAACTAACTCTACCAATCTGTTAAGAATGAAAACCAAGAGGAAGCTGAAATACATCCCTTTCCCACGGTCTGAAGGACTGCTCTCCGCGCTGCGTGCTTGCTTGAGCAGAGATTAAAAGTGTTGGAACTTGAGCTGCAATTTTGAATTTGCAAATAAACTATTTGCTCGAACTCTGCCTTCCTAACCCAAGTATTCCCTTCGCAGACTCTCTATCCAAGGCAAGAAGAGGAGGGTCAGGCCAAGGAATCCAGCCCTGAGTTTCATCAACCTCCTGTCTAGCAGCAGGGGTTACTCTGGGCAGGGACTGAACAAGGTGAAGGACCTCTAGGGGAGGGGAGGTCATCTTGCCTGAGGGAGTTTTCACAGGGGAGGAAAGCACTGACTGGGAAGAAAAGTTGTCAGAGAGAGAAGAGCGAGGAGGTCTCCTCCTTCAGATCAGCAGCTCTGTACCACTGCCATAGATACATACATGGGTGGATAGATAGATAGATAGATAGATAGATAGTAGATAGATAGATAGATAGATAGATAGATAGATAGATAGATAGATAGAAGATAGATAGATAGTAGATAGATAGATAGATAGATAGATAGATAGATAGTAGATAGATAGATAGATAGATAGATAGATAGATAGATAGATAGTAGATAGATAGATAGATAGATAGATAGAAGATAGATAGATAGTAGATAGATAGATAGATAGATAGATAGATAGATAGATAGATAGATAGATAGATAGTAGATAGATAGTAGATAGATAGATAGATAGAAGATAGATAGTAGATAGATAGATAGGTAGATAGATAAGACAGGTAGATAAGATGGGTGGGTGGGTGTGTAGTTAGAAGAGAGATGATGAGAAAAATATATGATGGGTGTGTAGGTGGATGGATGATGGCTGGGTGGCTGGCTGGATAAGTAGGGATAGATGGCAGGTAGATAGATGGATAGTAGATAGATAGATAGATAGTAGATAGATGGATAGTAGATAGAGAGATAGATAGATAGATAGTAGATAGATAGGTAGTAGATAGATAGATAGATAGATAGATAGATAGATAGATAGATAGAAGATAGATAGTAGATAGATAGTAGATAGATAGATAGATAGGTAGATAGATAAGACAGGTAGATAAGATGGGTGGGTGGGTGTGTAGTTAGAAGAGAGATGATGAGAAAAATATATGATGGGTGTGTAGGCGGATGGATGATGGCTGGCTGGCTGGCTGGATAAGTAGGGATAGATGGCAGGTAGATAGACAGACAGGTAGATGGCAGATCCTCTCTGCTGTGACCTCATCCCTAGAGGATGTCTGTGCTGCAACAAGACATGTAGTAAACACCATTTGGTGATTTCTTCCCAATCTGCATATTTATTGCCTGAAATCTCCCACCCTCACCCTCCAGCCCCGCCCAAAGTTCAGCTTACCGTTGGAAATCATGCTGTGACTTATCCACATTGGATTGGAACTTGGTGGCTGACAGACAGAGAATCAGTTAAACTCTCTCTTCCAAGAACATGTGGCTGGAACTCTGACTATGTTAGGCTCAGTCTGGAGGGGCACACTGACTGGAGGGAAGAGCCATACCTGTGCACGGTGGTCTCTGCTTGAATTCACCTGCTTAGGATCCTCCCTGACCCTCACACCTATTTAATATTCTTCTAATTAAGATCCCTAATTAATATCCTACCACAGAATTCTCTATTATCTAACCCTACTCGTTTTCTCCATAGGCTTTTATGGCAATTTGAAATTATGTGCTTCTTTTTTGACTTTCTGCCTCTCCCACCACACTGAATATTCCACATTAACAGAGACATGTTTTCCTGACCATTATTTCTGCAGCCCCTAGCAGTGCCTGGCATAGAACAGGTGAGTGACTCAGGTGTGAAAGTGGTGAAAGCCGATTTACTGAGTTGGTGAGGTTAGGAACAAAGAGAAGTAACAGGAAGAAAGGTCACTCCTCATGACACTGCTGCCCCTGGTGCCAATCCCTGGTGAGAACTTGCTGGGCTCATCCTCTTAGGTTCCTAAAATACCCATGTGTCTTTCCGATACCTGTCTTTCTTTACTCCCTAGAGCTTACATGAAGTGGGTTTCTGGTACTGTACATGTAACCAAAAGAAGTGTAATTAAGGCAATCCAAGGCATTTCTGGCTGTTAATGGATTCCAGGCCACCATCTTCCTGTTCCATTTCTACAATTTTTCTACAAATATCCTAGAAAATAATCAGATATTCAATTCCCCCCAAATAAGACTCTTGCATAGAGAAAATGAGGTCTGAACAAAATTTCAGTGGGAATCTAGAATGTCCCTCCATGACGTACCTCATGTCCTTGGCATAATAAGTCCTGTCTCTTCTAAAATCCATCCTTCTTAGGACAGAGTGGAAATGCCCTTCATCTGGGAGCACAAGCACTATGGACAGGTCCTGGGTGTAAGGCAGTTCAACCATCGTGGCGTGCAGATCATCCCATCGGCTGTACATCATTCGTTCTGTCTTCCTCATCATGTCCACCTGCACTTTTTTGTGCTTGTCCACGAAGAAGGTCTCCTCGTGAGTGAGTTTGGTGTCAAAAGCTACTTGCCAAATGCCTGGGGCAATCAGGAAGGAAAAAGTCAAGAGTGACTTGTGAGGGCCTCCCTGGTGGCACAAGGTGTCAAGCACAGCACTATGAAGCTGTCCGTAGCCTCTGCAGCACGAGTTCAATCCCCGGCCGGCCAGGGAGCAAACCCCATGGCGCAGCAGACCTCTCCTGTCTCACCCGCTGCTCCCCTCAGCAGTGGATTTCAGTCCGTCTGCCTGTTCTGCTCCCCACTCTGTTTCTGGTGAATCCTCTCACCCCCCACATCTCTGGACTGTACCCCAGCTCCTGTATGCATAAATAAATAAATCTTTAAAAATAAATAAATAAATAAATTTTTTAAGAGTGACATGTGAGAAATAAACCACTACCCACGTGTTCTGGGGCCCCAGAGGCCAACAGCTCAAGGCAGAAGAGTCACCTTACATTGGCAACTTGGAGCCCACGAAGAAACAGACAATGTCAAGGCCAGGAATTGAGTGTGATCTTTGTGCCCCTGGTGTGTGACCCTGAACCCATTCTAGCCTCATGGCACATCGCTCTGACCTTACAAAACCAGTGGATTTTCTGATGCTCATGCCACTGCAGAAGGGTTTCTTTTTTTCTTTTTAACTGCAAGTATTATGCATTTTTCTTCAAAATGGCATAGGTATAGGGAACAATCTAGTTGCAGAAATTGGGAGAATAATTTTTAAATGCTAGGACAAGGGAATGAAATCACAGTAAATTTACTAAGGGTGGATCCTGGTCATTAGAAAAATGGATATTTACAAATATATATGTATCCTTCTTTTTAGGGAACACCAGGGCAAAGAACACCTGCAATGGGAATTCAAGCCCTTAGCAAGGCTTACCTCTGATGGAAATGTAGTTTATTAGCAACAGGAATGTCTGAGGATCCAGCATGGTAATCAGCTCATAGCATCTGTCCAGGACTTTTTGAACCACAGCATGGTCCATTTCCTTCCTGGCTCTTTCTTTATCTCTAAAGTCTATCATCTTTACTTGCACATCATAGATCTTCTGAATCTCCTCCAGGAACCTCTGGTTAACCCTCCTGTGGTGGTTGATAAAGAGAAAGTCCTTGTGCCTCAGAATATCCTCCCTTTCCAGCTGCTGCAGCCTCTGGACGAAGACCAGGAAGAAGTGGTGCACGTCCCTCACTTCATGCTCCTTGAAGTCAAAGCCTAGCACGTGCAGCAGGTTGACGAGTGTCCAGGATCTGGCCCCCTCGGAGATCATGGCCAAGGAGGTGGAGATGCTCATGGGGGAGAAGATGATATTCTCTTTGGGATTCTCAACTAACAGAGTCTTCAGTAATTTTTGGGTAAATACCTCATGGTTGACTTTCATATCCTGATTGGGAGGTGGCAGTTCCCATGGGTGGTGGGGCTCATCCCATGTGACTCTTTGCAACTCACAGGAGATCCTACTAATAAGGCCACAAAGGATGAGGACCAGAGAGAGAGCCAGCTGCATCTTCCTGGGAGACAGTTCCACAACAAACAGAGCTGTTATTAGAAGGAGGAGGTATGGGGGTAAACTTCCCATGGAGCATGTTCTCGAGGTTGAGGGGTTGAAAAGGGGCCCTTTAAAACCTGGGTACTATCCACCCGGGTCCTGGATTGCAGGGTGCTAGCTAAGTCTAGCGAGGAAAGACTAAGGACTTTGGGTCATGATGTCAGATGAAAGGACCAATAATGACGGATCCAATTCTGCCTTTTGCTACAGGTCACTTCCCCATCCTGGCCATAGAATTCATTGTCACTACGATACTGTCACTAGTGACTTTGACTACCACTTGGAGAGATGTGCCCAGGCCCAAGCGGGACAGGTCCTACTCAGATGCAGCCACCATGACCACGTGGGCGTGTTGGGTCAATGATGCCAGTTTTTAACGTTTCTGAAGAAGTTAGAAACCCAGAATTTTTATATGGAAAAATTTAGCCTTATCAAAAGCACTCATTCACACCAGAAGGCCCAGATGCAGGCCTGACCTGAGTCTGAGCTGTGATTTCTGAAATAAAGCCCACCGTGGTGCTCAGGTGACTTGGACACAAGCTGTGTCAAAGGCCTGGTGAAGGTCACCTCAGGGAACACTGGTCTCCTCACTTCGGCTCTCCGAGTCCTCCCAGCTACTGCCCCCTTTTCTGTTGTCAAGGGCAAAGCGCTCTGTCTCCAGACGTGCCCAGTGTGATTGGCTGAGGCTGAAAGTCAGGCCTTGAATCTGCAGAGGGCGCTAATGGCAGGGACTGAGTGACTGAGTCAGCTGTGACCTGAGTGGATGTTCCAGGTCAGGCCCCTGCCTTGTCTTCCCACAGGACCTGGCGTAGCTCTGGGCATGGGGCTACTCCTCTGCACCCCCATCGCCACCCCTCATGTCTTGGCATGGGGATTGCAGTGGCAGGTGCTGGGGACTGAAGGTTTATGTCTCTCACAAACCCCATTGAAACCCCAACCCAGAATGTATTCAGAGGAAGAACCTGGGGGAGGTGATTAGGGTTGGCTGAGGTCATGACGCTCCCCTTATGACACGATAGCGCCCAACCAAGGGCTTGAGCGAGTCCCTGCTTCCCCTCCCTGAGCTCCTGCAAACAAGAGATGACTGTCTGGAAGCCATCTCTCATCAGCTTGGGCCCTCATCAGAACCAAGCATGCTGGCACCCTGATTTTGAACTTGGAGCCCCCAGAGCTATGAGAAAATCAATGTCTGCTGTTCGAGCCTCCCGTCCATAGTCTTTTGTCCTGGTGGCCGTGACAGCCCGCTCAGCTGTCGAGACTCTCCCCACCAACCTCCAGCTACCCTGAAGGTAGAAGCAGCTAGAGGGAGCTTCCAGAGCAAAAGTCATCATCTTCCTTTCTCTGCCTCCCCTAAGCTTCAAGGGGATGGAGTTCGAATTCTTTGGCTTAACCCTTTCTGAGAAACCCCATTAACCTTGGTTCTTCCCAACCAGACTCTCGGTCCTGACCAGCCCATCCCGCTTCTTCAATGTACCCCACCCCCTGCCATGCTCCTACCTCCCGCTGTCACACCCACACTGTTCCCCACCAGCCCCCCACCCTGCATGGCCTTTGGTCCACCTCGCTGAGTCGGGAGCGAGGCAAGAGGGTCTTTGTGGCTGAAGGGCTGCTAGAGGGCAGGGGCTGCCGGGTGGAGAGAACAGCGGATGGGGGAGGTTCCAGAAAGCACTGCATCTCCCATCACCTTCCCTAAGGCACCTGCCACCTGGAACAGGGCCAGAAGGCAGTAAAACACCCCCTCCTGAGAGCCTCCTTGTCCCCAAGAGGAGAAAGGTGACTTACCTTCCCCAGGAGCTTGCTGCTGCCATGGGCTCTTGGCCCCAGTTGGGGTCTGATTTATAGTGCCCCCGTGCCATGGGTGGGAGAAACCCCAGTTAATATTAAGTTGGTCAGCAGATCGTGTTCAAATATTGTCCCGAGCCAACAACAACTGAATCATTTCTTAAAGGTATTTTTTTTTGCTTGTGCATCAGTTCTCCCTGAAACAATGAGCCGGTTCATGCAGTTAATGCATTTGTTCACCTTCATTAATGTTTCCACACATTCAACAAACACCTAGGCCCTCTGACAGCCGTGCTCTGGGCTGTATGTTGGGGACAAGTTGGCCAGGCCTGACCTCTACTCTGAGGGGAACCGCTGGCCCCAAAGGATTCTGAGTTTGAACAGACCCCGGGGCAGGTTTTGATCAGCGGGGATGTGCAAGCAGAGAGGAGCGCCCCTGGAGATCTGGGGCCCTCTCACCAAAGTCTGAAAAAGTAGGCAGGAGTCCATGCAGCCTCGGGGAGGCCTGGGGAGGGTGCTCTGGCTCCTGGGCTGAGGGGGGACAGTGGGGTTCTGGGGAGGGTCACAGCTATGTGTGTGGAGTTATTCCAAGTCTAGGGAGGATCCACTTTTGCCACAATGGAGAGAAGTGTTGGCAAGTCTTCTCCCCGTGGCGACTAAAGAGGTGGGCAAACTGTTGAAAACAATCATTCAGACCCGAGAAATACACCCAGGGCCCATGGAAAACAGGCGCATTCGCCCATGAGGCGCCCTGAACGCTGGGTAGGAATAGAGTGTGTCCCTGGCTGCTTACCTGGGCGTCTACCCCACTCAGCAATGCCTGAGGTGGTCTCCGGGCCTGGGGAGCTGCCACGAGGGCAGACTCACTTGAATTGGGGTGTTCCCTGTTAAAGTGATGGTCTCAGCTGTGGGCATGAATGAAGAAGTCACTAGAAAGTGGCTCTGCGTCCCCACATGTTAGATTTAGCAGCAAAGCTCCAAAGCAGCTGCCTTGTATGTGTTTAAAGAAATATGGAAACCAGGTTTGAAGAATGAGGGGAAAACAGGCCTCCCTGCTGGTCTAGGGGTTAAGACTCAGTGCCATCACCTCTGTAGCCTGAGTTCCATCCCGGCCAGGGAACTGACCGACGTAAGGCCCAGCAGACCTCTCCTGTCCCGCCCGCTGCTCTCTCAGCCGCGGATTTCAGTCCATCTGCCTGTTCTGCTCCCCACTCTGTCTCTGGTGAGTCCTCTCACCCCCCACGCCTCTGGGCTGTACCCCAACTCTTGTATGCATAAATAAATAAATCTTTTTTAAAAAAAACCCAACCACAAAATACATACAATGGTATCACAAGGTGGGGGGGTGACGAAGAAAGGGAACTATATTGAATTCAAACACAAATTGTGTTTTACTGAAATTAAGTTTGCATCATTTCGAAGCAGATTGTGTTAAGTTAAAATGTATACTGCAGGGCCTCCCCGGTGGCGCAGCGGTTGAGCGCTGGGTTGCAAAGCTGCCCGCGGCCTCTGGGCACCGGTTCGATCCCCGGCTGCTCCTCGGCCACCGGAGGAGGGTCCCACATGGCGCGCAGACCTCTCCTGCCGCCCGCTGCTCCCCTCAGCAGTGTACTTCGGTCGTTCTGCCTGCTCTGCTCCCCGCTCTGGCTCTGGTGAATGCTCTCACCCTCCCGCACTTCTGATTGTACCCAGTGCTCGTATAAACAAATAAAAATAAATCTTTAAAAATAAATAAATAAAATGTATGCTGCAACCTCTAGAGAAAACAAAAAGAATTTTTTTCAAAGAAGAAATAAAGCAATACACTAAATGATTTTTTAATCTAATCCGGAAGAAGGCAGTGGAGGAGGGACACGGGAGCAAGAAAGCGATGAGGCTGGGGATGGGGAGACAAACCCACGCTCGTCAACAGATACTGCACTTCAGGGGAAGAGTCGTCAGGCTGAGGGAAAAAGTGGGATCTACCTCCGAGCTGCCTATAAGAGAAAGTTTATAGCCCAAGTCACACGTGGGTTAAGAATAAAATGGTGGGAAAAGATTTCCATGCCCCACTGCAGCAGGCCCTGCTTATCATATTAGACAAAATAGATTTTAGACAATGATGTCATTGGAGACGATTTTAGACAATGATGTCATCATTTTATCATGACGACAGGATCAAAACCTCAGGAGGACATAACATTCCAACTTTATTATCCTTAGCAACTGTCGCCTGGCGGGGAGGCCGTGCTGGGAGGGGTCGGAGGAAAGATAACTCAAAGTGCAAGTAGCGAGAGAGGGAGACCTAGAGGGGCGACGTCTCAGAAATGCAGCACCTCCCCCCCCAGCCAGTCTCATGTTTATCGGGGATCACAATCAGGGAAGGTGGGCAATCTGTGGAGGAAGGTGTGGAGGAATGTGTGTGGAGTCTGCCTTGCTGAGCGGATTGCTCTCAGAGCTGGATGAGCTCGCGATGCCCCCCAGGATGGTGTCTGCTGGTCTGTGGGGTTCGGAGCCCCCAGCGGCCCATCAGATTGGAGAACCTGGCGATGCCTGATCATCCGTTTCGCTTTTTGTTCTAGAATTCCCCCAATTTCCATAACCGGGAGTCAGCTTTGACTTCCACTTCCCGTTGGCCAGGAAGGCGCGGCCACACCTGCCTGGGCAGGAGAACCCCCTCCCTGGCCCTGGCTTCCCAGCGCCCTTGTCTCTCTGTCACCTGCCTCGTGGCTTGCGTCAGCAGCCTCTTCGCTGCCCCCGCCTCTCACAGGCCAGGTGCCAGTCGTCCAGTCTCCAATCCCCTGCCCAACTCTGAGCTTTCGGAGGCCCTGCTCCTAGGACTTTCGTGAGGAGCCTCTGTTCACCTGCCAACCTCACATCCCTCCACCCATCCTCAGGCCTCCACCCTCAAGCCAGATGGATAAATGAGGACATGTTTTTCCTCTGCCTGAACCCTGTGCTCACTCCTTCTCAGGGGGACCCAGCTCCTATCCACTCTCCAGACTTCCCCTTGAGAAAGCCTTTCCTGACAGCCAGCTTTGTCTCCTCCCACGTAGGCTGGGTCAGGTTCA